CCCTAACAACATCATATCACAGCCTCCCACACTGACCTCCAACATCCCCTTCCACCACCAATCATCTCCCTCCCTTACTTTACACACCACCACAACCTCCTACCCTCCCTCACCTCACCTCACCCCATACCCACTTCCCTCCTACCATCCCTCACCTCACCTCACCCCACCCCTTACCCACTTCCCTCCCTCACAACACACATACACCATCATCACACCCACCCTCTTCCCTCCCTCACCACACATCCCACACACCTCCCTCACCTGAGTATCACAGGTAAATAACTCTTGAGCCCCAATACGTTCAATCTCGCAGGTGAGTTATGTGACCATTGTCAATACTGGGGGTCTCCGGCCTCACCTTCGCCCAGTTACCTTCACACGCACCTGCGCTTTGCATATCGACTCTCTTGCCTTATTTATGTAGACATTGAAAATTTATCCAAACACCGAGAGAGAGAGAGAGAGAGAGAGAGAGAGAGAGAGAGAGAGAGAGAGAGAACAGTTGAAAAGGGGAAATGAAGAAGGGGAGAACGAGAAAGGAAAAAGAAAAAGAAAGCAAAAGAACCCAAACAGGAATAAAGAGAGAAAATAGAAAGAAAGAAAATAAGAAAGAAAGAAAGAAAGAAAGAAAGAAAGGGAAGGTTGGTTAAAAGGGACAGGAGCGGTGCGTGCCTCTACGAATTAAATATTAAGCAAACACATTAATACACACACTGACAAAGACAGAATCATTTATATACATACGCACACATTCTCTCTCTCTTTCACCTTCATGCACATACATACACACACACACACACACACACACACACACACACACAAACACACACACACACACACACACACACACACACACACAACACCAACAAATAGAGTCATTAACCTATTTTTCATAAAGGCTCTGTGTGTGTATGTGTGTGTGTGTGTGGGGTGCAGCACGCCATGGTGACGTCACCGTGTACCTGCCGTGATAAATGTCACCTGTAATGAAGGGGTTGTCTGACCAACAGCTCTATTGCTCGCACCACTACTGCTGCCACTACTGCCCTTCCACTACTGCCACCACTGCTGCTACTACTACATGCTGCCACCACTCCATACTACTGCTGCCACTACTGCCACCACTACTGCCACCACTGCTGCTGCCACTACTGCCACCACTGCTGCTACTACTTCCACCAATACTCGCCAATTGTTCGCTGCCACGACTATTGCCGCACTACTGCCACCACTGCTGCTACTACTTCCACCAATACTGCCACCACTGCTGCCGCCAATTACTACTGCTGCCACTAATGCCGCCATCACTCTTCTGCTACTTCCACCAACACTGCGCCACCACTGCTGCTGCCACCACTACTGCTGCCACTACTGCCACCACTGCTGCTACTACTCTCCACCAATACTGCCACCACTGCTGCCGCCACTACTACTGCTGCCACTACTGCCACCACCACCGTTACTATCCACCAATACTGCCACCACTGCTGCTGCCACTACTATCATGCACCACCACGCCACCACTGCTGCTACTACTTCCACCACTGCCACCACTGCTGCTGCCACTACTACTGCTGCCACTACTGCCACCACTGCTGCTACTACTTCCACCAATACTGCCACCACTGCTGCTGCCACTACTACTGCCACTACTGCCACCACTGCTGCTACTACTTCCACCAACACTGCCACCACTGCTGCTGCCACTACTACTGCTGCCACTTATGCCACTACTGCCACCATCGCCACCACACCTTGCTGCCACTCATTGCTGCCACCACCTACTACTATTACTACTACTACTACTATTACTATTTTGTGTCACACCACCACTACACCATCCAGGCAGCGGTTTAGGGGAGGTCAGCTTTGTGTGTGTGTGTGGTGTGTGTGTGTGTGTGTGTGTGTGGTGTCTGTGTGCGCCTCACCACGCCACAAAACAGGAAAGTGCTGTGCCCAACCTCGTTCGTCTGTCTGCATGCTTATGTATTCCAGTGCGTGTCTGTGTGCATGTCTGTAATGCTGAGTCACGTATCCCCATCTCTCTGTTCACTACTCCACAGCTACTCACGGTACAGACGGTGGTGTCATCCCAGTCACGTGTCTGTCTGTATGTTTGTCTGTGTGTTCACGCTAGCACGCTCACAACGAGGCGGAGGATCCCAGACTTCACCAACTCGCGTCATAAACTCGTCTGCCAGTGTAACTTGTACGAGGCCGTGTAGAGTGTCTCCCTGACCCCTGTGACCTCATGGCCCCTGACCTAAAACTTGGTAATTGTGTGTCCGTGACCTTTATAGGGTTCTTGACCTTACCAAACCTAACCCAACCTAACCTAACCTAACCTAACCAAACCTAACAAACCGAATCTACTCCTGTTCACCCTACCCTACCCTATCAAATCCATCAACCAATCAGAAGGAAAAACGGAAGAGAACAAGAAAAGACAAATAAGAGATGAAAAATAATTACTGTAAGGGAAAAATGGATGGATAAAAAGAGTAAAGAAAATGGGACAACAAAATAATTGAGAAAAACGACATAAAAACAGAATAAATATGAGAGAGAGAGAGAGAGAGAGAGAGAGAGAGAGAGAGACGAAACACAGAGACAGACAGACACACCAGCATAAAAAAACAATATTACTATTAGTACAAAATAAACGAACATTCAATTACAATAAACACACAGACTACTAATTGAAAGATTGTTAAAACACTCGTTAATATTTTTTATACCGTCAATGAGTTATATACGGCCCTCTATAGAGCACGTGTATCAAGGCTTCTATTTGATCTATAACGAAGTGAAATGTGTAATAGTTCATGTCCATAAGAGCGAAATGTGTAATAGATGTCCATAAGAGAAATGTATAGTACATGTCCATAAGAGTGAAATATGTATAGTTCATGTCCATAGAGTGAAATGAGTAATAGTTCATGTCCATATAGAGTGGTAATAGTTCATGTCCATAAGAGTAAATGAAATAGTTCATGTCCATAGTTCATGTCCATAAGAGTGAAATGAGTAATAGTTCATGTCCATAAGAGTGAAATGAGTAATCTTTGTCTTCATAACATCACGACCTCGAAAATTTATTACAATTCAAAACATCATGATTTCAAACATATGCCTTTTAAACATTGCGACTCAAAACATCACAACTGAAAACACAACTGCAAAACATCATACTATAAAAATTACTCCAAAAACATCAAACAAAAACATCAAAACACTACAACATCAAAACACCACAACATCAAAGACCACAACATCAAAACACCACAACATCAAAACACTAGCAACATCAAAACACCAACTACACAACATCAAAACTAAACACAAAACACCACAAATATAAAAACACAAAATAATCAAACACCACAACATCAAAACACCACAACATCAAAAAACTACAACACCAAAATAAAACACAACACCAAAACACCACAACATCAAAAAAACAAAAAAAATCAAAAACCACACCAAACACACAACATAAAAACACAACACCAAAAATACTCAAAACCCAACATCAAAACCACAACATCAAAAACAAACACCACAACATCCAAAAACACCACAAACACTAAAACATTCACAACATCAAAACACCACACAAAACACCACAACATCAAAACACCACAACATCAAACACCATAACACTCAAAAACCCACAACATCAAAACACACAACATCAAAACACCACAACACCAAAACACCACAACACCAAAACACCACACCCAAAAACACCACAACACCCAAAACACCACAACATCAAAAACACCATAACATCAAAATAATTACAACATCAAAACACCAAACATCAAAACACCATAACATCAAACACCACAACGTCAAAACACTGCACAACATCCAAACACCACAACATCAAAACACCGCAACGTCAAGACGCCGCGACGACAAAGACGCCGCGACGTCAAGACGCCTGACGTCAAAGACCGTCAGGACGCCTGACGTCAAAGCGCCTCACGTCAGAACGCCGCGACGCAAAGACGCCGCAGCGTCAAGACGCCTGACGTCGAAGACGCCTGACGTCAAGGCGCACGTGACGCGAAACGCCTGACGTCAAAGACGCCGCGACGTCAAAGCGCCTGACGTCAAAGACGCGCGACGTCAAAGGCACCGCGAAGCGCGAAAGAACGCCTGACGCAAGAACGCCGCGACGTCAAGACGCCTGACGTCAGGGCGCCGCGACGTCAGGGAAACACAGCGTCAAAGAGCACACGCGACAAACCGCAACGTCAAGGGCGCCGCAACGTCAAAAGGCCGTCAAGAACGCAACGTCAAAGACGCCGCAACGTCAAAGACGCCTGACGTCAAGAGCGCCGCAACGTCAAAGACGCCGCAGCGTCAAAGACAAGTCGAAGACGCCGCAACATCGAGCGCCTGACGACAAAACGCACGACGTCAAACGCCTGACGTCAAAGACGCCTGACGTCGAAAGACCGTCAGACGCCTGACGTCAGAACGCCTGACGACAAGACGCCTGACGCAAAAAGAAGCGTCAAAGACGCCTGACGTCGAAGGCCAATCAAAGACGCCTGACGTAAAGAAAACGCATCAGGGCACTGACGCCGAAAAGATAATCAAAACGCCTGACGTAAAAGAAAACGTCAAGGCACCGACGTCAAAGAACAAGTCAGGAACGCCGCAACGTCAAAGACGCCTGACGTCAGGGCGCGCGACGACGTCAAAGACGCCGCAGCGTCAGGAGCGCACGGCGGTCGAGACGCCGCGACGACCAAAGACGCCGCGAGCGTCAGGAACGCCGCGACGTCAGGAGCGCCTGACGTCAAAGACGCCTGACGCCCAAGGACGCCGCGGCAATCAGGAGCGCCGCGACGTCAAAGACGCCTGACGTCAAGGCACCGCAACGTCAAAACGCCACCAGCGCCAAAACGCCTGACGCCAAAGACGCCACGACGTCAGAGACGCCTGACGTCAAAGACGCCGCGAACGTCAAGGACGCCGCGATGTCAGAGCGCCACGGCGCCGAGCGCCTGACGTCAAGAACGCCGCAGCGTCAAGAACGCCGCAACGTCAAGGCACGCGACGTCGAAACGCGCAGCGTCAAGGCACCGCGACGTCAAAACGCCGCGACGTCAGAGAACACCCTGACGTCAAAGAGCGCCGCGACGTCAGAAAACGCCGCGACGTCAAAACGCCTGACGCAAGAACGCCTGACGTCAAAACGCCTGACACCCAAGGCGCCTGACGCAGGAGCACCGCGCGTCAAAGCGCCGCAACGTCAAGGCACCTGACGTCAAGAGCGCCGCCGGCAAAGTCAAAACGCCGCGACGTCAAGAGCGCCTGACGCAGACGTCGCAGCGTCAAAACGCTGACGTCAAACGCTGCGAGCGTCAAAGAGCGCCGCGGCGTCAAAGACGCCGCGACGTCAGGCACCGCCAACGTCAAGGCGCCGCAACGTCAAAGAGCGCACGACGCGAGCATCCGCGGCGTCGAAAGACGCCGCAGCGTCAAGACGCCGCGACGTCAGGAACGCGTAACGTCAAAGACGCCGCGAACGTCAAAGGAGCCCGCAGCGCAAGACGCCTGACGTCAAAGACGCCGCAACGTCAAGACGCCGCGACGCGAAGACGCCACGACGTCCAAAGACGCCACGGCGTCAAAACGCCGCAAGCGTCAAGGCACGGCGTCGAAAGACGCCGCAGCGTCAGAGCGCCGCGACGTCAAGACGCCTGACGCCGAAAGACGCCGCGGCAAGCCAGAGCACGGCGTCAAAGACGCCTGACGTCAAGACGCCTGACGTCAGGAGCGCCGCGACGTCAAAGACGCCGCAGCGCAGGAGCGCCGCGACGTCAAGGCGCGCGACGTCAAGAACGCCATGACGTCGGGAGCGCCTGACGCAGGCCGCCGCAGCGCAAAGACGCCTGACGTCAGACGCCGCGACGTCAAGACGCCGCAGACGCGAAGACGTCCGCGACGTCAGAACGCTGCGGCGTCGGGAAGACGCAGCTGACGTCAGAACGCCGCTGACGTCAGGGCCGCCGCAACGTCAGAACCTGACGTCAAGGACGCCTGACGTCGAACGCCGCGAGCGTCAAGACGCCGCAGGCGTCAAACGCCGCAACGTCAGGAGCGCCTGACGTCAAAGACACCGCGAGCGCGAAGACGCCGCGACGTCAGGGAACGCCGCGACGTCAAAGGGAGCGCCGCGAGCGTCAAGAGCTGCCGCGACGTCAGGCGCCGCAACGTCAAGACGCCTGACGCCAGAACGCCTGACGTCAGGAGCGCCGCAACGTCAGGAGCGCTTGACGTCAAAGACGCCTGACGTCAAAGACGCCTGACGCCAAGACGCCTGACGTCAAGGCGCCGCGACGTCAAAGACGCCTGACGTCAAGGCGCCGCGACGTCAAAGACGCCGCGAGCGTCAAGACGCCGCAATCGAGACGCCGCGACGTCAGAACGCCGCAACGCTCAAGACGCCGCGACGTCAAAAGACGCCACTGACGTCAACGCCTGACGCAGGAACGCACGTCAGAACGCCGCGGCGATCAGAGCGCCTGACGTCAAGACGCCTGACGTCAGGAAAACGCCGCAACATCAAAAACACCACAACGTCAAAACACCACAACGTCAAAAACACCACAACGTCAAAACACCACAACATCAAAACACCACAACATCAAAACACCTGACATCAAACACACCACAACATCAAAACACCACAACATCAAAAACGCCGCAACATCAAAACACCACAACGTCAAAACACCACAACATCAAAACACCACAACATCAAACACCACAACATCAAAACACCACAACATCAAAACACCACAACATCAAAACACCACAACACAAAACACCACAACATCAAAACACCACAACATCAAAACACCAAACATCAAAAACCTGACCATAAACACCACAACATCAAAAACCCACAACGTGCAAACGCCACGTCTGAGCACCACGGCGTCGACACCCGCAACGTCAAACGCCGCAGCGTGAGCACTGCAACGCAAAGCACACAACGTCAAAGCACCCAGCATCGAAAACCGCAACATCGAGTCACGCGACCAGGACGCCGGCGTCAGGGCCTGACGTCAGGAGCACCTGACGACGTCGGGTGCCACTGACGATAAGGCCTGACGTCAGAACACCACCGACGTCAGGAGCGCCTGACGTCAAAACACCTGACATCAACCGCTTTGGGCGTCGAGACCTTAACCGTATAAAACACCACAACATAAAACACCAACATCAAAACACACCTAACATCAAGTACCACAACGTCAAACCTCACAACGCAAAACACAACATCAAAACACCGCAACGTCAAAACACCACAACATCAAAACACCGCAACATCAAAACACCACAACATCAAAAACAGCACTAAAACACCGCAACGTCAAAACACCACAACATCAAACACCACAACATCAAAACACTAATAAAACACCACAACATCAAAACACCACAACATCAAAAACACCACAACATCAAAACACCACAACATCAAAACACCACAACATCAAAACCTTCAACGTCAAATGTTTGCATAGGAGACTTCACTGATATTGATAATAATTACCTCTCTCTAACACAAAATATTAAAATAATTCATGGTCATTCACTAGTTATTTTTAATGGACATTCAGCCGTATGACTGACCTCTGGATGTGTGTGTGTGTGTGTGTGTGTTTGTGTGTGGTGTGTGTGTGTTGTGTGTGTGTGTGTGTGTGTGTGTTTATCTGTTTTCTCTACATGTCTGTCTATCTTCAAGTCAGTCTGTCTATGTGCCTGTCTATGATGCGTTCCTCCTCCCACTTTGTGTATGTCTCGTGTCTGTCTGTGTGTCTGTCTTCTGATGATGCGTTTGTGTGGCGTGTGTATCTGTGTCTGTGTGTCTGTCTGTAGTGTAATGATGACTGTTAAATCGTCTATCTATTTGGTATCTGTTGCTGTTTTATCATATCTCTACCTGTCTATCTATGAGGGACAGTGAAACACCTGTCGATTCTCTTTACCTGACACCGTGAGACACTGAAACACCTGTAATATCCTCTCTACCTGCTTGAAGTACTGTTATATCTCCTATCTGTCTTTAAGCGTGAGAACAATTAGAAACTTTTAATATCCCTCTACCTGTACAATATACACACCTGTAATATCTCTCTACCTGTATATACACCTGTTATATCTATGCTTGTATAAACGTAAGAGAGACAATGAAACTACCTGTAATATCTCTCTTGCCTGTATATACACCTGCAATATCTCTCTACCTGCGTGTGTCAGAACCTGTCAAAGGAGGAGGTGGAGGGAGGTGGAGGAGGCAGCAACACTATACATCAACTTAGTAATTACCTGATTATAACAACGATACAACAGCCGTCATTCTGAAGTCGTGTTATTCTCCAGCACAAATTAACTGCCTTCTCTCCTCTTTTACTCTCGCCCTCACCCTGCACGAGCTAAAGCGACCTAAGTCCTGTGGTCGAGTTAGGTTACCCAACAGTTATAAGTTTTTGGCAGGTGAGGTCATGTCCAGGTAAGGTTTGGTTATGGTTAGGCAAAATGAAATTAGATATAGGTAAGGTTATAGAAGGTAAGATTTAGGTAAAGTTAGGTTGAGTTAATGATATTGATGATGGAGAGTAAGGAGGGGAGATAGCGAAACGAATGGAGGGAGTTGAGGGAAGGAGATTAATAAGGGGAAGAGGCAGGACGAGATTAGCCTAATTCCATGAACAAGGTAAGATTGGCTTTTGTTAAGTATGGTAGTTAGGCCTTCTTTACCTCCTGGTGATGGTGTATAGGGATGGTGGGGGTAGAGTAATTGGTTGGTGAGATAGTGTTGGGATAATGGTGTCAGGAGGGAAAATGGTGGTGTTTAATAGTGGTGCAGTGAGGTAAAAAGTGGTGTAGGGGATTGTGGTGGATAGTAGTAGATAGCGGTTCTGGGCGATGGTGGAAGCAGTAGTAGTGCTGGCGATGGTGGATTGTGGTAGATAGTGGTGATGGTTCCTGTCGTGTGTGTGTGTGTGTGTGTGTGTGTTAGATATTTGTCTACACGTAGTACGTCCGGAAATAAATTGCGTGTTTTTAATGTGAACAATTAATAATTTGTTATCATTATAATTGTGTAAATTAGGATCATTTACTGTGAATTTTCATATGTAAACAGATTTTATAAATTTTCATCATTGTGTTGATTACAAAATAATTTACAGTCACTCACAACACAGCAACTGACCCAGTCTTAGTTTCAAAGTTTCGCAGTTAACGTTTATCGTATTTAAATATGAAAGAACAAATCAACATAAAAGGTAAGAGTATCAGTGTAAGTGTAGACGCCATCTGAGAGTGATACGCTGTGTTCCTGTCACAGATTAAGCTAAAAGGTCAGATAATCAACTTATGATTTTGAGACACCCAAGATGTGTCGTAGCTGAAATCAATCGTATTCTCGTAACTTTCAGCTGGGGTAAAACGGTGTCATCGTTGGTCTCGGTAAGGTGAAATAAAACACGCCGACGAATCTCTGAGAGCTCAGGAAACTGGGTCAGGGATTAACAACAGGGCAATCACCAGCCAGGGTCGTTCTCGGGTCACGGTCATTGAGGAAGCTGTAGAGGGTCATTAAGAGAGACAGGCCGCGGCAGGGAATAGCTGTGGGTTGAATACGTATATGGGGAAATCCAGCAGGTTGAGGGAAACTGCAGGTCAATGGGTCCCAGTCTAATGGGAGCCAACCTAACCTGACCTGACCTAGTAATAATAACTGGTTCTCAGTCGTGTGTGACCCAAACCAACCCAAATTAACCATTAGGGGTTAAAATTATTTAAACTGGGACCCAATTAGACTGGGACCCAATTATGAATTGGTGGGGTTTATTGGGACCTGGCCCAGCTGACTAGTTGTCGGTACTGTCTCTTCTCTCTGGCTCACCACACACACACACACACACACACACACACACACAAACTATCACAGGGTGGAACATTCAATCTCTCTCTCAGCCAGAGTGTGAGGAGCACTAACAAGCTCAACTAAGCTACGACACACAAATGGTACCTAAAATGGCGTCGAAGTACTGAGTTTATCACAACTAAGTGTTATCTCTAACCTTCACAAAAAGTAATAGATAATACTTGCTATGTGTTATGATCCTGGGTTGTGTTACGAGAAAGAGCAGTTTTACTCTTTAAGGTTAATACAACTATATATCTGCAGGGTTTCATTGTAATTATTCCATTAGTGTTTGAGCTACCGTGTTGATGACAGACATGTACACATTTATTAATAGATTATTTACTCACACACACACACACACACTGCACAGTTATGTATACAGTACATACGTCTATATATACAGAGAAGAGAGAGCTAGAGGGAGGTAGAGAGAAAGAACGAGAGCTAGAGAGGGTGGGAAACAGGCCAAGAATTAGAGCGAAGTAGAGGTGAAACAGGCTAGAGGAAGAGCGAGCTAGAGAGGCAATTGAGAGGTAGACCGAGGCAGAGGTGGGTTCGGGATTAGAGAGGTAGAGCAGAGGTAGAGAGGGTAGAGGCTAATATTCGTGCTCTACCAATGATCAGCCAACAC